CTTATGCCTGCAATCCTGGCATTTTGGGAGGCTGAGGCAGGAGGAAAATTTGAGACCACAAGTTTGCCAGCATCCTGAGAAAGAGTGAGACCCCCCACCCCATCTCTACAAAAAATACAAAAATTAGTTGGGTGTGACAGCACATGCCTTTAGTACCAGCTACTCTGAAGGCTGAGGCAGAAGGATGGCTTGAACCCAGGAGTTTGAGGTTGCAGTGAGCTATGCTCATGCCACTGTAGTCTACCCACAGCTACAGAGCACGACTCTGTAGAAAGAAGAGAAGGGGCCAGAAGGGATAGGAAGGAACAGAAAGGGAAAGAAAGGGAGAAAGAGAGAAAGAAAGGAAAAGAAGAAAGGAAGAAAGGAAGGGAGGGAGGGAGGGAGGGAGACAAGAAAAGAAAACAATAGAGAAAATCCAAAAGATTAAAATCTGCTTCCTTTAAGAGTTATAAAATAAGCACATCTCTAGAAAAACTGATCAGTAGAAAGGAAATAACATTAAACACACACAGCAACAAAACAGTGTCTGGAATGAAAAGGTGACATATTTAAAGATTTTCTTAAGAAATTAGTTCAGGCTTGGTGCCTATGGCTCAAGTGGCTAAGGCACCAGCCACAGACACCTAAGGTGGCAGGTTCGAATCTAGCCTGGGCCCACCAAAACAACAATGATGGCTGCAACCAAAAAAAAAAAAAAAATAGCCGGGCATTGTGGTGGGTGCCTGTGGTCCCAGCTATTTGGCAGGGTGAGGCAGGAGACTCGCTTGAGCCCAGGAGTTGGAGGTTGCAGTGAGCTGTTATGCCACAGCACTCTACCCAGGGGGATAGCTTGAGGCTCTGTCTCAAAAAAAAAAAAGAAGCCACGCAGTCTGGGATCTTTTGTTACAGCCTCCCAGACCAGACTCTACATCTCTGCCTCCTCATTCCAGCTCTCACACTTTAAACAAATGTCATCATCTTAGTGCCATTTTTTTTGCATTTTTTGTGCCTTTTTTCTTGGTGATTTCCTGTTTAAGATGGTCCCCAGCATAGTGCTGAAGCGGTGCCTCACAGAGAAAGCACACATGTTAGACGGGCTTTGCTTGGGTGCCAATTACCATGCTATTGATGGAAGTTCAATGTCAGTGAACCAATGGTACATATTAAATAAATACCTTTTGGGGGGTCATGCATGGTGGTGCACACCTGTAACCCTAGCACTCTGGGAGGCCAAGGTGGGAGACTCGCTTGAACTTAGCAGTTCCAGACCAGACTGAGCAAGAGCAAGACCCCATCTCTACCAAGAGAAAAACTAGCCGGGTAGTACACTCCTGTAGTCTGAGCCACTCTGGAGGCTGAAGCAGGAGGATAGTTTCTGTGAGCTTATGACAACATGGCCCTCTACCCAGGGTGACAGAGTGAGACTGTCTCAAAATACATACATACATATATTTTTGGTAAAGAACATACATATGTTTTTGTTAAAGAACAAAAACACACATAAAACAAACATTATGTATTGGTCAACTGAGAGAAATGTCATGGCCAGTTGCTCACAGGTTCCTAATTCTGTATTATTCCCAGGAGCAATGGTCCAGTACCTCCCCACTGAGTGTTTGCGGTGACCTTACAGAACACAGCTAAGAATCCCCTCTTTCCACATTTAAAACCTTGCAAATGAATGACATCAGTGGGGGAATGTTGGTGGATAAAGAAAAGAAGTATACAGGAGACTGGGCCCCTAGGGCCTTCAAAAAGCCAGTAAAGGAGTCTGAGAAGGAGCAGAGGAAACTGAGCAGTGAAGGCTGAGGGATGCCCTCAGGGCACGGGAGCCTCAAGGTCCCTGGTGACCTCCACAGGGCAGCCTGGAGGAGGGCATGGGTAACAGCCCCATGTGAACCTGAGAGAGGGGAGGAGGGAACGGGAGACAGTGAACACAGAAAACTCTTTGAAGACTTTTGCCAGAAAAAGGAGCGAAGTGATGGAGCAAAAGATGTAGAGAAGATACAATGAAAAGACTTTATTTTTTTGAGACGGAGTCTCAGTATGTCGCCCTTGGTAGAGTGCAGTGGTGTCACAACTCACAGCAACCTCCAACTCTTGGGCTTACATGATTCTCTTCCTTCAGCCTCCCAAGTAGCTGGAACTACAGGC